ATCTTTCAACTTATCATTTCCCTGAACTGTATGCATTGCAGTTTAAAAAATGAGTACCCCCGCAGAAAAGACAATCTCCTTTTCTTTTACTGGTTTCCTATTAACTGTGCACCTTAGGAGGGGACTTATTCTTCTTTCCTTGTGGAGAATCATTTTTTCGTTTCCCGCTACTTATATGCACCTAAGCAACTCTTTTTAGAAATGAATTTTGATTATTAACATTGGGAAATTTTCCCCTTTTTGAAACTTGACAGATACCTCAGAGTTATTATGTGTTCATCTTTTAAAAAAGTTGGTTGGGTGGTCGCAACTCACAATTTTTTCTTGTAGACCTAGTCCCCTTTTTCCTCCAACCAAAATAACCCTTTTTGAAAATTTTTTCGAGAGCCATTCAAGTGTTTTATATTTAATTTTATTCCCCGTACAATGGCACTCAATAACCCGTCTGATTCCTTCAGATTTCTTTTTTTACTTAAAGTTTTTTAGAGGCTCTCCAGTTTAACTCTAAACGCTGTAAACCTTGTAAGAGATCTGGAGATTTTTTAAATTTAAAAATGAATTCCTAATCCAACCTCTTTGTTCTATATTTCCATAAGTTCCTTCAAAAAGTCAACGCTTTTCCCTTTTAAGAGTCATCTACATTGGGAAAGGCTTGTATCAGAGTACATCCCTCTTACCTTCCTTTGAGGTAAAAAAATTTAGTTACACAGGCTAGGGCACTCCTGTCCTGCACCTGCTTTAAAAATTTACCAAAAATCCTCCCCAATTTTCTCCAATTAACCCTTTCAGGGGCGACAGCCCCCCTCCGAACTTGTCTCAGGGGCGCCCAAAATTAAAAAAAAAATTTTAATTTTTTTTTTTGAAAAAATAGAGAATCTTCTTCCGACAAATGACACCAAAAAAATAAATTTATGGAAAACTTTTGGAATTTTGCTCTCGCGAAATTAGCGGGCTCGACAAGTTTAAAGCATCGGTGATTTTGCCCCTTTGACCCTATTTTCGCCAATTCCAGTGTACAGTCGACAAAAAAAGTAACATTTCGCTAGAACTCCATTTCTCTATCGAATGATACAAGAAACCACCTATTTACCCATTTAACATCCAAACAGTGGTCAGAAAATTTAGCAATTTTTTCTAATTTCCACAAAATTTTAAAAATGCAAAATTTTCAAATAGGGGCCAGAATAACAAGAAAGACATCCTGGGACAAAAAACATTTCCTCTGTTCATTAGTCACGTCCCCATGCCCATCTTACATTCTTTTGCTTTCCACTTTGAATTTTTATTCTCACAAAAAATAGAAGATTTACTGTTATGCAGACTACTGCATTAGTGTAGAAATGGTATAAATAATATCAGCGCACGTGTGAAAGAATATTAGACTCACCAGTTGACGTGTATTGGACGCTTGGCATGATTTGTTTACTTTTGATCTTTGGTAAAAATCGAACATTTCTGCTACTTTGAGCTCAATTTCAAGGTACTTTTCATTGTAAACCCAGTCAAAATCATCTCAATTTCTGTAATATGTCTTCCATTCTGTAAAATAAGACCAGGAAAACTAGAATAAATACCACACAAAAATACAGTGCAAAGTTGCTGTTTTAATCCAAAAACACGATCAAAGTTTTTTTTTTCTCATTACGCACTGTGTGCTGCAGGACTTTTTTTATACTGAGCACACTGACCACATAGACCCATTCTTTCATATGTAGGCCTACCAGCTTTCTCTCACTAGATTTGAGGGCGCTAGAATTTAGGCGTACTAGTACGTCAAAAACCCTGGTGCGTAAGCCATACTAGTACGTCCGAAACCCTGAAAGGGTTAAACACAGGCAAACACAATTCTGGGAGTTTTGGCAAAGACATATTATTTGTTGGAGCAGACTGACCAACTGCCTGGTTTACACATTTTAATTTATTCAAGGCCTGACTTTTACAAGAAAGAATCTTTTCCTCTAATTCATAATACTGATTAATCATGAGATCTACTTCAGTCTCATCTACACAGTTTACTAACAAATCTCCTTCATATTTGTTTACCTGGAGTTTACCTGGAGAGAGTTCCGGGGGTCAACGCCCCCGCGGCCCGGTCTGTGACCAGGCCTCCTGGTGGATCAGAGCCTGATCAACTAGGCTGTTGCTGCTGGCTGCACACAAACCAACGTACGAGCCACAGCCCGGCTGATCAGAAACCGACTTTAGGTGCTTGTCCAGTGCCAGCTTGAAGACTGCCAGGGGTCTGTTGGTAATCCCCCTTATGTATGCTGGGAGGCAGTTGAACAGTCTCGGGCCCCTGACACTTATTGTATGGTCTCTTAACGTGCTAGTGACACCCCTGCTTTTCATTGGGGGGATGTTGCATCGTCTGCCAAGTCTTTTGCTTTCGTAGTGAGTGATTTTTGTGTGCAAGTTCGGTACTAGTCCCTCTAGGATTTTCCAGGTGTATATAATTATGTATCTCTCCCGCCTGCGTTCCAGGGAATGCAGGCGGGACAGGAATTTGGGACACCTAGGTCGCAAAAATGTCCCCCTTCGATACCTACCACTGTCATAACCACAAGTTGCTCTGGACCTATTAATTAAATGAAATATACATACACCAGGAATACTGGTAAATATATAAATTTGTGGGCTGTATATTAAAAATAATAAATGGTTATATATATATATATATATATATATATATATATATATATATATATATATATATATATATATATATATATATATATATACACACACAATTACATAACAGAAAGAAAATATATCTTAATATCACTCACCAATTTGACTGGAGATTAAGGTGTATCATACTCAGAAAACCTCACTCTAACTAAATCTATGAAAATAATGCTGGCCAGAATTGCACACAAATCTAGAGAGCTTATCTGAGGTTCCTGGAGTTGTCTTGTCCAGTCGTCTGATATCTCAAGTTATGCAGGAATGCACATCCACCAATTTCGCCTCCTATTTGAGAGGTGTCAACACAATTTTAACCTCTAGAGCACGAAAAATTCTTCCCATTACACCAACGTTTATACAAAATTCAAAACCAAGATGGCGAGTCTCGTCTGCGCAGACGCAGGCTTTCCGTTTTCTATGACATAAATATTATTAAATACAGTATGGCCATCTATTTACATATAAATACTGAATTTCTGGAAAATATATACAGTATTTTCCATATCTCTATTACATCTTTTAAAATGATAGGATGGATAATGAGAACCTTCAAAATTAAGGATGCCAAGGGAACGACGATTCTCTTCATATTGTTTGTTCTCTGTAGGCTGGAATATTGCTATATAATAACGGCCTCTTTCAAGGCGGGCGAAATTGCAGACCTGAAGAATATACAGAGAACTTTTACTGCACGTATAAGTACCATACAGCACCTAAATTACTGGGAACAGTTGAAGATACATGATAATATACACTTGGAAAATCTTAGAGGGACTAGTCCCAAATTTGAATACGAAAATCACTCCCTACGAAAGCAAAAGACTGAACAGGAGATGCAACATCCCCCGAATGTAAAGCAGAGGTGTCACGAGTACACTAAGAGACAACACAATAAGTGTCAGGGGCTCAGGACTGTTCAACTGTCTCCCAGCATACATAAGGGGGTTACAAATAGACCCCTGGCTGTCTTCAATAAGGCTCTGGTCAGACACCTAAAGTCAGTAACTGACCACCACGTCGGTTTGCGCGCGGCCAGTGGTAACAGCCTGGTTGATCAGGCTCTGATCTACCACGAGACCTGGTCATACCCCGGGCCGCGGGGCGTTGATCCTCGAAACCCTCTCCAGGTATTTGCCCGAAATGGTCTGCAAAACAAGCGGCTTTCTATATAGTAGTATGTCATTGATGTCAACTAGGACTGTATACCTTGTACATGTACTTGTAGAAATTGATATTATTAGTATTAATAAGACACTATGGCGGGATGGAAACTGTTGTCGAGACATTTCACCTGGAGACCAGTCCCTGGATTATTATTATTATTATTATTATTATTATTATTATTATTATTATTATTATTATTATTATTATTTATTATTACAATCATAACTCAGCACTATACCCATAGGAGTCGAATCCCTCGATCAGAGCTACTTCCACTAGTTGGCTCTGCCCACATGTGATCATGTCTGCTACTGCTGCATTTCTCTATTTCTTCCACTGGCTCCACATTAAAAGGCTCTGTTGTCATGTCTCTGCATTAGACTGATAAGGTTTTTTGGTTGGAAAACTGTCTTTCAGTAAAGAATCCCAAAAGTGTTGCACGTTTTTTATTCATTATCACCATTCAAGACCCCAATGGGAACAAGTCACTTTGTCTGACTTATGGGCTATTGTATGTAATTGACACATATGTTAAACTATGTATGATAATTGTACTTACGTGTACCTGTACCTAAATAAGCTTACTATCCATGGGTTGAATTAGTGACCCTTGGGTGGGGTGGGGGTTAATAATTCAAGATAACCTAAGAAAGTAAAGCATTGTGGCTTATTTCTATTTGGGTCCTTCCTCAGGATGCAACCCAGAAATTCTAGGTGTTAGGAAACTTGGGTGCATATCACCCTGATGATGTTTCGACCCAGGGTCATTTATGACCTAAACGTGCTACCACTGCTCTGATACGTCACTCTGAATTAAAAATTTAGATATTGAAAATTTGTGAGGGAGCTGTTTCTGCACTCCTGGATTTTTTCGCATTCGAGCACATAATGAGGCAGATTATATGTAAAAGTTGTATAATACAATGTGTTTAGATTCTAATTTAGCGCCGTCGACACTTCCTAACTAGTATCGGATAATTGGCTTCTGCGTTCCAATACTGTGTTAAATTAAGAAATACAGAGCTTTAAACGACCATTAGCAGTAATTAATTCATGATACTATTTTTTTGTAATAAAGGTAATTAAGGCCATATCGTATTCATATATTTGTTATACATATTTAGAGAAATTTGATACGTTAAGTGTAAAGAAGAGTATCAGAGCAGTTTCCCCAAAGACACTCTAAACAGCTGAGAGTGAAATTTGTCAAGTGGAAATGTAACTATAATATGATGTTTTGCTCAGCGTATACACCTTAAACCTTAGTAGAAACTTGCTTAAAGTGTCAGATGACTGGCAGGTGAAGCAGGCAGCGGCAGACAGGCAAGTATATCATACACATTAATACAGTTCCTTTTGCTACAAACAAAACAGGAAACGTAATATAGTAAACTGCGGCTTTGTTTTGAACTTGCTACCAGAAAAAAAGTCAATTAAAATATGGTTTCCCGATAATTGTATCAGTGGAGGTGGAGGTGGGCGGTAGTAAAAGTAGATCAACATGTAGAGACTAGGTAATGCAAACTCCTCTGCAGCCTTAATTAATTTTAGTGCAAATGTAATTATCTACAGTATGTGTAATAACATACTTGATTTTTGTGAACCTGGAAGTTTGTCTTTTTGTATTCCACCATAATGGAAATGTGTCGCTTTGACTTTTTTTTTGGGTTATCTTGGGTAATTGACACGTTACCAGGCATGATAATTATAGTTGTGTACCTGTACCTAAATAAACTTATTAATTTTCCACTGACTGAAGTGAATTAGTTTTATCCTATGCTTGAGCCCCTGGATGATAGCAGCTGTTAATTGCATGACTTTTTTCCTTGGAGGGTGTGGGAGGATGCCTTGATGCTGGAGTGCTCTTAATGCAAGGAATTGAAGCTTAGTCTCTTTCTCTAATCAAATCTGTTTATTTCCCAGAACTGTGTGACCTCATACCAGTTTAATACTTTTCAGTGACTGTAATAATAGGTATAGTTTGGGTATGCTGGTGGTTCTAGTTTTGTTTTATTAAGCATTCATTTCATGAGTATTTCCTGGCATTTCTGGGGCTCAGTTATGTGCTGTCTTAATTTGTCTCTGTTTTCTTGTTCTTTTTGTAAAGAAGCTTCTCCTTGTATCTTCTCGTAATTGTGGTAATCTCGGCTCCTGGCCCTGCCTCTCTTCTTGCCACTACAGGTTTCTTTCTGTTCTATCATACTTATTCTTAAAGCTATGTATGGATTCTCTCTCTACCCTCTACCACTTTACTGTCTAGGTCATTCCATTTCCTGACCACTCTAAAGCTACTGAAGTATTTCTAACATCCCTCTGACTTATCTGTGCTTTTAACTTCTAGATGTGACCTTGTGTAACTGAAACCCCCCTTTTAAACAGACTCCCTCTTCCACCCTCTGGATTAAAAATCCAAACAAAATCTTACCTTAATTTCTCTGAGTATTTTGTACATCATGTCAACTCAGGTCCTGCTCTGTAGTATCATCAGGTTTAGCTTTTCTACCCTTTCATAGTTCATACCCCTCAGTTCTGGGGCTAGTTTCTTTGCAAACCTTTGCACTTCTTTCTAATTTTTTTTTTTTTTTTTTTTTATACATGCTTTGCCAGGTACAGGTTCCATATTGCTGCTGCATGCAATGGACCTGACACATACCATGTATAGGGTCGTGAATGACTCCTTGTTGATGTTTATGAAAGTTGCCCTTAAATCTGCCATCCTGCAGCAGTTATTCTGTTGATGTATCTCTCAGGCGAAATGCTTGGAACGATGCTCACCCCAAGGTCCTTCTCTTTCAGGGACATGCTCCTAGCACACTCAGCTCAGCTCACACTCACTGAGGTATGGGTTGATCCCCGGTACGGGTGGAAACGTTAGGACATGTTTCCTTAAGACATCTGCTGTCCATGGTCACCTGTCAGTAAAATAGGTACCTGGGTGTTAGTTGACTGGTGTTAATCACATCCTGTAGACAAAATTGTCCTAATTTGCCTGAAATGCTCTGCATAACAAGGGGCTTTGTATATAGTAGTATGTTATTGATGTCTGCTATGGTCTGTATAAGTTGTACATGTACTTGTAGAAATAAAGATAATTATTATTTATTATTGTTAATTATTAATCCTGAGCCTGTATACTGTTTCCAGATGTCTTTGCCCTTTTCTGATTTTTATAACTTTGCATTTGCTAGGGTTGAATTCCGGTAGCCATTTGTCAGACCAATCCTGCAGTTTGTCCAGATTCATTTGCAGTTTTTCCTGGTGTACTCCTGTTTATATTCTCCTTATTAGTTTCACATCTTTGAATGGTGACTCCTCTGGCTCTATTACCTTTTGTCATGATTTAGATTTAGATTTAGATTTTGCCACCGAAGTGGCTAGTTTATTGTGCACTCCATATCCATCCTGTGGACGGTAGCGTGAGAGTATATGGATACACAAAAGGCCTAGGAACTAGGCCCCAAAGGGTTAACAGGAATACATATGGATTTATATCTACATATCTATAGTTCACTTATCTGTTACAAGCAAATTTAGGAAATTTGCTTAGTATATCTGGTATCTTATTTTCATTAATAAGATATCTTGACATGTCACATAGGTTATTATACTGTCTGTCTCTGTATTCCTCAATAAGTGGACAATTAAGCACATCACAACAATAAATACTGGTCCAAGTTCAGGACCCCACTTGTCATGCTCTCCCATTCTGACACTTCCCCGACAGTGACTTGTAGATTCCGGTACCCAAATAAACTTACTCTGTAGTGATCATCTCCAATGGCACAGGAACTTTCAGTAAAACCATGATTCCCTTCCTCTCCAAGAAAAAAAAAGCTCGGAGGTTAGCTGTTACCGTCACGCATTGGCTAAGGAAAATTTGAAGACGCTATGAATTGTGCAAAGATCTGTGGCACTGGTACTGATCATACTGATGTAGATCTGTGACTGACAGCGAAAAAGTTAACATAGTTATTCTTGCCTGTTTTGAATGACAGTGGAAAAGGTAACATGGTTATTCCTTCTTGCTTTGACTGACAATGAAAAGGTTAACATAGTTATTTCAGGTTGTTTCTCTCCTCCAGCATTGTGAGAAGACAGTACAATATAAGCAAGAAGAACTCAGATGCAGTATATGGCAGCAGGTCTAGTTGTCTTTTTGTACATGTGCAGTGGAACCTCAGTTTTCATCATTAATTCATTCCAGAAAGACTGAGGAAAACTGAATTCAACGAAAACTGAAGCAATATTTCCCGTAAGAAATAATGTAAATCCAATTAATCCATTATTTACACCCAAAAGTATTAACAAAAAATACATTTTATAGAGGATAACTATAGTTTTACATACAGAAAACAGTGAGAAATAAATATAAAGGACTAATGAAATGGATAAATGAACATTTAACATCACTTTTACCCTTATTGAAGATTCTTGTTGGCGTATGGAAGACAGCGAGGAGGGGAGAGGTTATCTCTACCACCATCCCTACCACCCTCTACCACAACCACCACTGCCCTCTACCATGATCACAACCACCACTACCCCTACCACCATCCCCTACCATCACCACCACCACCACCCTCTACAACCACCACCACCACCCTCTACAACCACCACCACCACCCTCTACAACCACCACCACCACCCTCTACAACCACCACCACCACCTCTACAACCACCACCACCACCCTCTACAACCACCACCACCACCCTCTACAACCACCACCACCACCCTCTACAACCACCACCACCCTCTACCACCATCACTACCAATGAGAAACAAAGCCAGACTGACTCAGAAAGCGTGAGATGCTTTGTGTGGGCAGACACGTTCGGTACGGTGGACCACTATCAACTCGATGAAAACAGAGGTGATAAACGAAAACTGGGACAAAATTTTGACGAGAAAAGTAGTCGAAAACTGAAATGAAAACCAGGGCAAACAAAAACAGAGGTTCCACTGTGTGTGTTTGTGTGTTTGTTTGTGTTTCATCTCCTACCGAGGTAGGGTGACCCCACCCCAAAAAAAAATTGGGAAAAACTTTATCCATTCAACCATGGTTTTGCCAGAAGTGTGTGACATCTCATTTCTGATAAGCCTCTGAACTACAGCATCCCCCACTTTCATTTTAATCATGGCTTCAGTATTTAATTATTACCATAATTCATTGTTTATGGTTAGGTGCCTGACATTTTTATGGAAGTTCATTATTGGTGTGTGGAATTATTTAAAATTCTCCATTATAATTAAAATCTTAGAATTGGCACACACATTTATAAATTGTGCATACATGTATTCACCAAATGTATGTACAGTGGAACTCTGGTTATCGGCCATAATCCGTTCCAGAAGGTTGGCCTAAATCCGAAAAGGCCGAAAACCAAAGTAATATTTCCCATAAGAATTAATGTAAATACAATTAATCTGTTACAGACACCCAGAAATATTAACAAAAAATACATTTTTTAAAGATTAACTATAGTTTTACCTACAGAAAACAATGAGGAATAAATAAAAAACACAAATTTTAATGATAAATGAACATTACATACCTTTATTGAAGATTCTTGTTGGCGTATTGAAGAAGACGAGGAGGGGAGAGGGAGTTGGGAATCCCCCTTCATAAGGACTTCAGGTATCAAAACCCCCTCTAGGGTTACATCCCTTCTTTGTCATTTACTGCCACAGTATATTCATTACGTACCTTAAAATATTTGTAGTCTTAATGTAGGGTGACAGGTGAGTAGTATTTTTTTGTAGGAAATCAATGCAGGCAGCGATAGATGTAGGTACCTGTATGTAGCCTCCCTGGCCTACACTACACAGCCATGCTATTACACTACACAGCCATATTATTACCATGTTCACCCAGTTTAATCGTTTCTAACTACTACCTTTAGATGCCATCATAAACAAAGGGAGAATTAATGAAGAATTCATTTCGAGAATTGTAAACAAATGTGTATGAAGGGCGGTGACTGGGCCAGATGCCAGATTCAGTTTTCTCTAACGCTTAATCGGAGAAAACTTAATGTTTTCTCTCCAACCAAATGTTAATATGCCAAATGCTGTGTAATGTATTTCTTATATAATTTTGAAGAAAATATCATAGATGGATTAATGGAAATGTCTATATTAACCTAAAATAAGACATTTAATGTGCCCAAGAGTAATTATTATTAAACATACATTGCATATAAACATTGCATGTTTTTATATAGTATTATGTAATGCATTTCTTTGGGCCCATGGTGGCTTATTTCGCAGTCTCGCTTGATAAACTACCACAAAAAAACAATGGATTACGTGTATAATGAAATGTCTGGATGAATGTGTGGAATGTTGCTCACTCACCCAGAGACACAGCCAGACTGACTCACAAATGCGATGGAGTGGTGGGTGGACATGTCCAATACGGCCGATTTCCAAGTTGCTGGCCAAAAAAGCGGCCGAAATCTGATTTGGCTGTTATTCGCATCAGCCGATACTGGGGTTCCACTGTATACTGTTTAGATGCTCGTGCTTTACATCATTTTCGTATAGAAGATTATAGTACATACCACCTTTCTTGTTTTTTCAGGTCTACAGTGTGTATGGCTGTGTATCCAGGTATGTTGATTATGTATGTATTGTCATGTTTGAATCGAGTCTCTCTCTAAGAATTATGACTGAGAAATTAGTAGGTTTTAATTCTGGTAGGGTAGTGATGTCTTCATTGTTGGCTTAGTGAATAACTTTAGTGAGCTTGGAGTAAGTCTTAGGAGACCTGTATGACATCTACCTTGCACAGCTGGAAAAAATGGCCCCATAAACAAGGTACAGTAATCATTAGGACACGAGCTTCTGCGCTTACTATATTAACGACAGGGATTAAATATACAGTAGGCATTGTAAGTTAGTCCCATGTTGAAGACGATAATGATTTTATTTGTATTATTAAGTCTGGTATGGTCTCCTTAAAAATTTATGAGGGATATTATTTTATTTTGTGTTTGAGTCCTATCTCCGTAATGTCTCGCTAATCTAGATAATTATTTATAAAAAATAATTATCTAAATTAAGAGAGGTTTGGGCATGGAAAAGTCATTAAACAAAAAAAAAGAAAGTTGGGTGATTGAATTTATTCATGGGTTGTCCATCGGTAAAAACTTGTAATTGAAATCCCCATGAATGGAGGCCTGCAGATATGTAGGGACACCTGTATCTATATATTGCTAGGTGAGCAGGGTCAGTGGGTGTTAGGAGACTTGTTCATTCTTCTCATCCTGCTTGAGATTGAACCCAGGTTGTTTGTCATCATAATCATCAAAGTCATCTTAAATTTAATATTAGTTATTATTATTATTGTTGTTACAGTATTACTGTTATTATAAAGATTTTTTGTGGTGTACATGTACATAAATCCTCATCTTAAGACACGTAGGAGATTCCCAGTTTCAAATAACTAATATTAAATACAGTAAATGTTTATTTGTAAAATGGATGGTACAGTCTCTTTATGCACTTTCTTTTATTACATAAGACACAATGGGTGAGGCGGTTGCTGCTCCGCCCCCTGCAATTGTAAAAGAAGGGTGGCTGAACAAGCGTGGTGAACACATCAAAAACTGGCGACAGCGTTATTTCTTTCTCCTTGAAGATGGAACTCTTCTGGGATTTAAAACGAAACCTGAGCAGGGCCTTGATGACCCACTAAACAACTTTACAGTGAAAGTAAGTGCAGTATATCCTGTTACAGTACAGTACTGTATTACCTGTCTGTGACTTTCAGTACAGTACCTACTTGTAGTTATAAGAGTATGTAATTATATTGGTGGTGTTTCATCTTTGGCATTTAGTTTCTTATAATTTTTTAAGTTTCCAGGGGTTATAACAAATATCAGCAGTGTGCTACCTTCTTTTTGAAAAACTACCTATACTTTGTAACATCTTTTTAGTACCTGTAGTTTTCTTGATTTATAATTGCTGCTTTTTGTTCTCCCTGTTGAGTACTAAAAAATTTTGATCTATTGTACTTTCCCATCACTTCATGATCTTACATTGTACTGTACTGTATATGAGTATCATATTTTCTCTTTTCCTCCTGCAGTCTGCCAGTGAAGGTATTTTTAGGTGTTAGTTGGCAAGACCTTGAGAAATATGGTAAAAACATACTATGCAGAGTGAACCTTTACTTATAGTTAGAACTTTGCTCTAAGTACAGCATGGATTTTATAAGCTCTACTTGTAGCCAAACATTGTAAATAAAGGCTTGTTCTGCCCATAGTGTCCTTCTCATGGCATTTTCAGTGTTTTTAGTCTCCCTCTATAATTTATCGTACACTGCTCTGGTGCTCATTTTATGTCATACCTAAAGGTTACCTGAAGACAGTCTGGGAGCACTAATGCCTACGATTTCAGTCTGGCTGGAATATTAGCACTTGGATTTGAACCCCACTTATTAGCTGTAAGATGCATTGTATGAAGTTTGGGCTTGATAGACTTACATACAATGGGTTCAGAGGTGACATCAAGTCTTTAAGTTAAACCAGCAGTGGTGGTCACATAGGAACATGGAGTTCATGAAAGGGTAAGGACAGTTGAGGTATGAGATAGAAAAGGAGGTTATCAAGGTAACATGCCATTTGACTATGAAGAGGCTGGCTAACTACATCCATGCTGGTCAGCTGGCATGGCAGATAGATGTAGACCCAAACCTGGAGCAGGGTGTTCAGCTGGGGCCTGATGAGGGAACATATATTGAATAATCTCTTGCTGTGTACAGTTATTTCAGTGTCAACAGACATCCAGTTGAGTGAAATACTGCACGTGTTCATGTGCACAAACAGCTATACTGTACATACCTCTGGCAGACAGCTACATACTATACTGTTAGTCACAATATGTACCAGTTTTGTACAAATTTGTATACAGCACTTAAATTTATGCCAATTATAAGAAAGCTTTAATACATTTGTGTGTATTATATACTTTATGGATAAAGTTCACATCACATACCTAAATGAATGCAAAGCTGTCACTTGCTAGTCAATTAACATAAATATAAATTTTAGAATATAGAAAATACAAAATGTCTCAAGAGGTGCAGGTGCATTAATATGCATACATTTGTGTATTAATGCTAAAATATACAAACTTTTAATTTTTTTATTCAGAGTTATTTGTAAAGAGCACAGATTTCTTTTGTAAATAAATTATATTATTTATGTAATGCATTCCTGAATTTTTAATTAAAATTTTTTCAGAGATGTCAGATCCTGAAGACTGAAAGACCGCGACCTAACACCTTTATTATCCGTGGACTTCACTGGACAACTGTAATAGAACGTACTTTTAATGCCCAGTCAGCTAATGACAGGTGAGGGGTTTATGTTATAGTATATGCTAAGAATTTAGCCAAATAGAGCAGTTGAACTGGCCTAAAATACGACTCGGTTGGTGATATCGCTAACGTGTAAATTGCGCCCAGACCATTAACTTTCCTCTTGTGTATTTCTGTAACTTTTCCATCAAATTTCGTAATTTTGGTGTCATTGCTTTCAGAAAAAGATTACCATTTCAGATTTTTTTTTTTAAGTGGACACTGAGAGCAATATTAATTTTGGGAGTTTAGACAATGAAAGGGTTAAGGGTCAATTCAACAAGACATTGTTTAGGAAGGCTAGTAGGGTAGATAGATTTAGCAGAGGACCAGTTTATAGGATGGCTGTGATATCAAGTATGACAGAAAAGTGCATTGTTAGTGTCAGTATGATTAACACTTCTTTTTGTTCATTAAGTCTATCAGAATGAGAGCAGCCTCTTTCACTAAAGTATTGGAGAGGGCATCCAAGGATTTGGAACTGCCATCCCTTTCCTGAGATCAAACCTGATTGCTTCCATTTCCAAAGTGCTGTATGACCCTTTTGTGTGTGTAATTTCCCCATAAATTTAATAATAATAATGGGAGGATGAGGAGCAGGAAATGTTAAATGGTTTTGGGCTATGTGCATCTGCTTTATTTCTGTGGCCTTCAAGCAAACAAACTGGGTGTTCATCTGTTCCCTGTCATTTCCTCTGAAGGTTCTCTCTCTCATCTTCCTGCCTCTTGACTGTCTGAACTCCTTTTCTTGGTTCTTCTTTTCTTCCTACTCGCCTCCATTACACTAAAGACTTCATAGAATGTGTATTGCTGCATCTTACTTGTATGATGCTAAGCCTTGATGTTGAAATTTTTATTATGTTCCTGTTAATAAGCAACATAAGAAACTTTGAAAAGCACTGATGCAGTTCATACTTCTCTATATCACTAATGCTTCTGGTGTCTGTTCCATTTCCTGCTGCTCCTCTCTTTTCCAGTACATACTTTCAAACTGGCAATGTTCTTTCTGATAGCCTTCAAGAACACAAAAAATAAAAGTATTAATTTTGCTGATGCTAACAATAGTCTTGTTAGTCATTTTAGACAATATAACCTATATGGTGATCCTTCACAAAAATTTTATAACTTTCTTCTAGCCTTCTAGTCACTACTACTACCACCATAACCACCACCACCACTGCTGCCGCCACTGCCACTGAGGCTCCCTACCTCCTTCCTTCCTTCCTTTATCTAGCCCCGTCTCTTGATCTTTTCTACTTTTTCTATCTCGGTTGTGAATTAACTGAAACATGGGTTAGTTTCCTTTCTAAGGGTTGGTTAAATATGAATTGTTCCAGCCATGGTATTGTGACTTTTTATTATTGTAGTTTCTTTTACTATAGGTAAGTGGAAAATAGTAATAAATAACATTCTTTGTTGAAGAATTTGTTCACTCAAAATTCTTAATGTAAGGATTAGTGTTCCTGATATTCAGTAATTTGTAATAATGATTGTCTTGCCTCTAGGGAAGCATGGATGGAGGCTATTAAGCAGGTGTCTGAGAGGATATCAGAGTCATCGTCTGGACACTGTGTGCAGATCCAGGAAGCAGAGTCTGTAGAACAAATTCAGTTAAAATATTCTAGTGAAGATGATGATGATAGCACAGGATCTCGATCCTCTAAGAAAAAAAGAAAAATTGTAAGTATTATGACCTAATGGAAAAAAATAGCAGTATAGGTGTGAACTATAGAATCTTAGATATAAAAACCTTATTTTTTTTAAACAAAATCAGTTAAATACTTAGGAAGTTGTAATTAATTAATGGTGTAATGTTTTATAAATGTCTGGATTACCTAGTAATGATTTAAAGGAAAAGAGCCTGCACAGTGATGAACAATAAGGTCAGGTTATGAAGTCATATGCATGAGCCTTCATTGAAAGATTTGTATTGACATTAAAAATTATTATTTTCCTGTCTTCAGTATGGGTGAGTGCTTATTAATGCCCAGTTGAAATCCATGCAAGAGGAGCAGTTTTATTTTGTTTATCTTATGTTCTTAATTATTTATACATCAGTGAATCTCAAGCTATGTACAGGGAAGTGGGGATTACCGTGATACTCCTCCTGTGATAATTTTTCTTCAAAAATTATAGAACATGCAACTGCAGTACATAATTACAGCCGAGTAAAAAAGTGAAAATCACCATTATATGGTGTGTTGAAATTCACTGCTTGAAGTCTTCCAGTGCAGTATAATGCATTTTTCCATAGCATTAACATACATTTTGTATTACACATGCAGTATTTGTTAATTATCATATTTTCTGGCATCCAAGGCACACCCCAATTTTGGCAGGCATATTCTGGGAAAAATATAAAAAAAGTGCAGTACTTGCTTCAAAATGATATTGAGCCAGTGACTGGCTGCTTATGCACACATAGCTGAAAGAGGTGGGACCTTGTGCAGCTTGTCTACTACACCACCACCAACCACCAAAACTAACGTGGCTACCTGTTTATAGGTAGCTGAAGTTGGTTTGTTTATTATGTACCATTAATATATTACTTATAATTTATAATAGCTACTAATCACTTTTAACGTAATCTGGGAAACAGGTTTGTAGGGGACTGGGGTATTTGCAGTTTGGTTTACCAGAACCAAAATACTGAAACCACCTGCCAGTAACTCGAAGCCTCCCCTTGATCATGATCTTGAGCATATAAGGTGCAGGGTGAGTTTGAGATTTTTTTGCTGAAAAAAAGTGCACCTTATGTGCAGCAAAAATATGGTATTTTATTTTTACAGGTATTGAAAAACAGTCTGCTTGAGTCCTGGAGGTGGAAAGTACAGTATCTGCACTCTGAAGGAGGAATGGGGATATTGCAGTTCAGAGTCATTTGAATTGTGATGCCTCTATCCCTCTGGCAAGACAGCTATTAAATGAATGATTATGAATTTCTTTTTATTTGGGGTTGCTCTACCTTAGTGGGAGATGGCCATTGTGTTAAGAAAATTTATTTTCATTAAGTTATTCACTCTGATAGTCTGTGAAACAAGTTGAAGTAGAAAACTAAATTCAAATGCTCTCATTCTTTCCTGCCTATAGAAGAATATATAAACTACCTATTATAGTAAAGGAAGCAGAATGTGTATTTTGTGGTGTCCTTAACATATAAAGGAAATGTTAGTTTAAAATATTCTGAAGTCAAGGAACCTATATAGATTTTGAGGTAAAATAGTAAGTTGAGGCAATTTTGTAATAGACATGTACTATGTTACAGTACATATGTTTAATGGGATAATAACTAAGTTTGTTTTCAAATATTAAGTCTCAAGTTCCAAGGTAATCATTTTTCCGTGATATTTATGACATGGCACAAAATCTTGCTTCTCACTGTACTTTCCTCTACTGCAGGATGACCCAGAGTAGGAAGCAAAGAATGAATGTCAGAAAAGAGTCATCAGAAAGGGGAAGAGTAACTAGCAGGGTTCCACAAGGATTGGTATTAGGACCAGTACTGTTTACAGTTTGTATGAATGATATTCCAGATGGGATTGGTTCAGATATATCCCTGTTTATTGATGTAAAATTAATGAGAATAAAAACAGATGAGGACATAAAAGGGTTCCAAAGGGTTATGGACAAATTACAAGAGTGTCAGATAAGTGGTTGCCTGAATTCAGCCCTACTTAGTAAATGCAAGATAATGAAGATTGGAGAAGGAGCAAGAAGACTGGAAATTGGGTTTAAAGTAGGGAAACAGAGGCTGCAGACTTAACTTAGAGAAAGACCTAGGGGTAAACATAGTGTCCAGTATATCGCCAGAAGTTTGCATCAGCCAAATAACCTCTTCAACCAGTGTTCATCTGGTACATTTAAGAGGTGCCTTCAGGAATTTGAACAGTCGTTCTGGGCCATTTATACAACATACATTAGGCCCATCCTAGAGTATGCAGCACCAGTATGGAATCTGCAGCTGTAAAAGTATTTTAAGAAACTAGAGAAAGTGCAGAAATATGCAACAGCTTTTTCATTAGCTGAGGCATGAGCTACGAGGAGAGGCTAACAAAGTTGGACCTAATAACATTGGAGGACAAGAGCTAGGGGAGGCATAATAACAAATAAAATACTCAGGAATTGATGAGGTAGAAAGGATAGGCTGTTTGAGATGCGAGAAAATGAAACTTGGGGACACTGCTGGAAATTAATCACATGAGCTACAGGGATGTCAAGGTATTTCTTTAGTCTAAGTGGTCGGGAAGTGGAATGATATTGGTGAGGAAGTGGTGCAGGCAGGCTCAATGCTTAGTTTTAAGAGTAGGTGTGATAGGGCCCATGAGGCTAAAAGGGAGTGAATTTGGAGAGTGGCAAGTTAAGAGGCAGGGCCAGGATCTGAAAATCGACAACTGCAACCACAAATAGGTGAATACATAACTATTCAAATGATCCACCAAATCTGGATATCCCCACCTATCCTTCAGAGTGCACAGTACTAAAAAATTCATAATATTCATTATTAAATTCATAACTGTAGTGTATATATCACTAAGTGAACATATGATATGATGTATAATTATAGGGTGTTACAAAATGCTAGATGTCTAATTATGGACATCCTGGGATATAGAGTAATATGATGAATGCAGAAAAAATTATATAATCTTATCTGTGGCATAAGTATTTCATAGTGTAAAAAGTTGTGTGTGCCCAATAAGTGACTTTTAAAGTTCAGAAGTCATAGTTTTCATCATTGGATTAAGTGTAGATAAAATGACTTTATTCTTTTTATATAAAAAAAAAAAAAGTGTTAATTGAAAATGTTAATAACACACGTTGACTTTTGAACAGCATTAGGAAATATTTTGAGAATTGAATATACAGTCTCTCCTCACTTAACGACAGAATTCCTTTCCTAAGACCACTTTGGTAAACGAATTTGTCGCTAAGTGAGGAGCATACTATAGTGGTAATGGGTTTGTGTCAGCCATCTTTGATACTGTTTTAATGTCACTTTAATGTCACCTTGCACCATTTATAACATTTCTGGTATATTTTTAAATGTTTATACACTAGTGTACTGTATATTGTAATAAACAGAATAGAGGAAATCAGTTCTAATATACATTATTTTGGTATGCACACTGGTCAGAGAGCTTGTCGTAAGTCCAAGTCGTCGGTTAATGAGTATGTTACTAAGTGGTAGAGGCTGTATACTATTACGAAGGTGGCATAGATTATGTTAATAGGTAAATTTTCCTATAATTCTTAGTATATTTCATTTGACTTAAATATGGGAGACTCGTATACTTAGAGTATACCAGGAGTGTGTTCTGGGGGTCAATGCCCTTGCAGCCCGGTATGATGACCGTGTTAATAAATTTGAGGCTGGGTAGATGCTACAGTATTTATGTAGCTTTTCTTTACAGACTTTAGATAACTTCGAGTTCCTCAAAGTACTTGGGAAAGGGACGTTTGGAAAAGTAATTCTCTGTCGTGAAAAGGTAAGAAATTATTTATACTAGTTGTCTATTTTTATCACTAATTCAGTGAATAAGCCCCATAATTAAAAACAGCTACTTTGAGTAAATGTTGAGCTGTTTCATTTAAATTTCAGCATTAGGGGAATCATGAATATTGGGAATTACAGTATATGAAATGTTCATTCCAACAGAGCAGCAATCATTTCTATGCTATCAAGATTCTGCGTAAGGATGTGATCATCAAACGTGACGAGGTGGCCCACACATTGACTGAAAACCGTGTTTTACAGGTTGTGGATCATCCCTTCCTCACTGTAAGTTAGTTATTACTATTTGTGTGCAGTAATCCCTTGAACTGCTCATAGTTACTCTTCCAAAAATTACTTTACTAATCTGTACTGTAAAAGATCAAAAATGTGTGTACGTGTATTCAGTTAGGTGTTATAAAAAATTTAAAAAATTAAAAAAAAAAAAAATTGAAATTAAATAAAAAATTCCCTCAAAATGCGATAGGGAAAAAATTGTATTTTTTAAAAAAATTTTTAAAAGGGATATTTGGGTCCCCGCCTTTAGTTTTTTTTCCCCCTATTTAATCTTTTCTTTGGTTAAAAAGGGAAAAGAAAAAAAATTTAAAGGGGGGGGGGAAAGCTAAAAAATAAAAAGGGATAAAAAGGCATGTGTCCCAAAATTTTTTTAAAGTTAAATGTGACACCTACCCCACCCAGCTTTTGGGGAAAATTCTTTTCTTAAAACATTTACAAGATTTATTATTTTTAAATTATTTTATATTAAATTAAAAATAATTTTTTTTTTTAAATATAAATTATAAAAATAATAAAAATAAAAAAATTAAAATTTAAATATATTTTATTTAAAATTAATAAAAATTTAGTTTAAAAATTTATTTTAAAAACAGTTTATAATTTTTTATATATAATTTTTATATTATATATTTATAATTTATTATATATATATAAATATAATATATTTTTAATTATATTAATTATTTATATATATTATATTATATAATATTATATATTATAATATATTATATTATATTAATATATATATATTATTTATATATATATATATTATAATTATATATTTATATTTATATTTATAAAATATATATATATTTATAATTTTATATTATTTATATATATTTTTTATATATATTATATTTTTTATTAAATAAAAAATTTTAAAATTTATTATAAATATATTTTTTTTTTTATATATTTTTTTTATATTTTTATATATAATTTTTAAATTTTTAAATTTTAAAATAATTTTTAAAAATAAATTAAAATTTTTTAAAATTATAAAAAATTAATAAAAAATTTTAAAATTAACTTAGGTCCCTAAATTGTCAATTTTAAAAAAAAAGTTTTTTTGATTTTATTTTAAAGCGGGATTTTTTCCTTTTTTTAAGGGGAAAAAAAATTTTTTGAAGGGTGGAAAAGTAAATAAAAAATGGGGAAAAGGTAGTAACCCCCTTTTCCAAAGATTTTAAAAGAATAAGAAGAAGAAAATTTTGTAAAGGGGAAGTATGGCGGGAGGGGATATAAGAAAAAGATTTGTGGATTTTAAAAAAAGCTGGATTTGGAAGGAAAAAATAAGGGGGTATTCATGGAGGGGTAAAAGGGTTAGGCGGGGCAAAAAACAAAAAAAAAAAAAAAAAACAAAAAAAACAAAAAAACAAAAAAAAAAAAAAAAAAAAAAAAACACACCAAAAAAAAAAAAAAACACACAAACACAACACACACCCCCCCCCCCCCCCACACCACCACAAAACCCCCCACCAACACACACACCACACACAACCCCACCCACAACACACCACACACACCCACAAAAAACCCCCCACACCCCACACACCCCACACACACCCCACACACCACACCCACCACACCACACACCACCCCAACACAACCAAAACCCAACCCCCCACACAACCCAACCCCACACCCAAACACCACACCACACAACACACCCCACCCCAAACCACACACACCCCACCACACACCCAAACACAACCCCAAAACCACCAACCCCCCCAACAAAAACCCCCAACACAAACCACCACCCACCCAACACAACACACACCACCACCACCCACACCCCCACACACCACCCACACACCCAAAACCCCAACACACCCACAACACCCCCCCCAACCCCCCACCCCCACAACACCCCCCACCACACCCCACACACACACACCACACCCACCCACACCCCCCCACACCCACCCCCCCACCCCCACCCACACACACACACCCCCCCCCCAAACCCCCACCCACAACCCCAAAACACCCCCCCACCCCACCACCCCAACCCCCCCCCAACACCCCCCCCCCCACCCCACCCACCACACACCCCACCCCCCCCCACACACACCCCCCAAACACACAAACCACAACACACCCCCAACAAAACCACACCCCCACACACACACACACACACACACACAAACCCACACACCCCCCACCCACACACAACCCCAAACCCACCCCCACCACCCCACACCACAACCCCCCACACCCCCACAACCACAACACCACCACCCAAAAACCCACCCCCAAAAACCCCACCACCCCACCCACCCACACACCACACCCAACCCCACCCACCACACACACCCCACCCACACACCCACACCACCCCACCACCAACACCCCCACCACCCCACACCCCCACACAACACACCACACACCACCCACACCACAAAACCCCACACACCCACACCCCACCACACACACCACCACCACACACCACCCCCCCCCACACACAAAACCACCACCCACACACCCAAAACACACCACCCCCCACAAAACCCCCCCCACACACACACACACCACACACACACCCACACACACACCCAACACACACACACCACAAAAACACACACCACACAACCCCAAAACACACCACACCACAAAAAACACACCCCCACCACCCCCCACACCCACACCACAACACACACCCACCCCACACCCCCCAACCCCACACACCACACCCCCACCCACAACACCACCCACACACCACCACAACACAACCCACCCCCAAACCCCCAAAACACACACACCACACACCACACACACACAAACACCACACCCCACCCAAACCACCCAACCACAAAAACCAACACACACCCCACAAAACCCCACACCACACCCCCACCCCCACACACCACACACACACACACCCCAAAACACAAAAACCCACCACACAAAACACACCCCCCCAAACACCCCACACACACCCAAAACCACACCACAAAAACCCAACACCACACCCCACACCCCACCCCCAAAACACACCCACACACCACACCACACAACACACCACACACACACACCACACACCCAACCACACACCCAAAACACACCAAACACACAACCACCCCACAACCACACAACCACAACACCACACAAAACCACCACACACCACCCACCCACACAAAACCCACACACACCACAAACCACACCCCACACCACACACACACCCCACCCCACAACACACACACACACCAACAAAACCCCAAAACACACACCCCACCACACCACCCTCCCACACCCCACCCCAAAAACACACACACACCACACACAACCACACACAAACCACACAAAACCAACACCCCCACACAAAACCACCCACACACACCCCACACACACCCCACACACACCCCCCACACACCCCACACACCCCCCCACCCCCACACACACCCCACACACACCCAAAAAAAACACCCCCACAAAACCCACACACACCACCACACACACACCCACCAACCCCACAAACCACACACACACAACAACCCACCCCACCCTTTCCCACTAAGGTGGGAGATGTTACATCCAAATTTACTGTATTAGTCTTGTGATATATAAGTTAATTAGAAATTATTTCATGTGGATTGTTAAAAAAAATTCATTTTATTTACAGTACCCAATACTCATTCCAAACAAATTTCTCTGCTTTGATGGAGTTGTCAAGGGCGGGGAGTGTTCTTCCCCCCTTAATCAAGGGGGCCATATTCCTGAAAGGTGCGGGTTTTATGGAGCAAAATCTGTTTTGCCTTGGGATATTTACACGAAAGAAACTAATTTCCCCGGGCAAAGGTACGTATGACGTACTATCAGATATTTGTCAGTTTAATCTCTCTTTGATACCCTAGTGTCTTGCATTTAAATATGGGTTTTTTTAGACAAGTTTTTTTTTTTTTATCAACAAACCAGCCAATTCCACAGAGGGAGGGTGCTAAAAAAAATTTTTTTTTCAAATTTAGATTTTATACAGGGGAAGGGTTTTTAGCCCCCTTTCTTAAAGCATTTTTGTTCTTTTAAACATGCAGGGGTACGAGGATGAATTCTTTTCCAATCCCCATGAAGACTAAAAATAATTCATTTTGACATTAGGGTTTGTAACTCGATAAGGAAGACGTGGTAGTCAGTAGCAAAATGAATTTAATATTTCCTTTGAGTAAACGTACCTCATATTTTTTCCCGGTGTTTGCTTGAAAACATATTTTGAAAAGATTTAGATAAAGGAAAGGGGAAATTTTCATTGCTTTTTTGAATTTAGAAAAACATGATGGAGTTGATAAGGGAAAAATTTGGGAGATGTTGCAAGTGTATGGAATGGGGAGTAAATTACTAAATGCTGTAAAGATTTTTATGAGGTAGGAGGCTCAGGTTAGGGTGGTAGGAGAGAGGGAGACTACTTCCCATAAAGTATCTTAGCAAGGATGTGTAAAGCACTGTGGTTTTAAATTTTATAGATGGGGTTTTTAATAGAAATAAATGCTAGAGGTTGGGGAAAGGGGGGGGATTAAATTTTGGGGAATCAAATACAAAATGGGGGATTTTGGTTTGTTTTTGCTGAAGTAGTAGGTTGGTAGACGGGAACCCCGGGAAGTATTCGTCCTGCCCAATGATGTGAAACAAAAAACCCGTAAGTTTTGCATGATGGTAGGTTGTGGTTTCTTTTTCTGTCCTAAACACGCTATAACAGGGATATCTTGCTATCCACTTTCACTTTGGTCACACTTCAAGACACGCCATGATATATTATATCATAATCTAGGTTTTCTCCTTTTTTTTAAATAGCTCTGTCCCTTTTTATTTCTTCTATTGTCCATGGGGAAATGGAAAAAAAATCTTTCCCTCCGTAAGCCATGGTTCGTATGAGGGAAAAATGCCCCGGGCAATGGGGAGTAACCCCTTCTCCCGTTACATTTACTAAAAAAGGGAAAAAGAAAAACTTTTATAAAACTGGGTTGCTTAAAAGTGCTGGTGTAGTGGGGTGACAAGAAAAAGTGATTGGATTTTATGAATGAAAAGAAGTTTTGGAAAGTCCTGGCTCTAAGCGAAACAAAGCTGAAGGGGGTAGGAGAGTTTCAGTGGGGGGGAAATAAATGGGGATTAAATCTGGGAATATCTGAGGGGTTAGGCAAAAAGGGAAGGGGGGACAGTAATGTTAAAAGTCAGTTATGGAAGGAGAAAAAGATATGAATGTGTAAATTCAAGAATTATTGGGTTTAAAGTAAAGGTTGGATGCGAAATGGGGATAAAAGCGTTATCACCCGGAGAAGAGGGAAAGCAGAGGAAGAGAGAATTTTGGGGGATGTTTAAATGAAAGTATAGGAGCCTTTGAAAAAGTGGGAGTAAATTTGGGAGGGGACCCGAATGTAAAGTAGGGGAAACTTTTTGGAGGGTGTGGTAGGTAAGTTTTTGGGGGCCCCGGTTTTAAAAGATAAGGGACCCCTTTTATTGAATTTGTAAAGAAAGGGGTTTAGTTATGGTAAAACATATTTTTTGAAAAAAAGGGGTAAAAAAGTTAAAATATGATGTGGGGGGAAATGCGTAGTTTGTTGGATTAAGTTTGGTAATAAAAGCTGCTGATAGACTTCAGGTGAAATGTTTTAAAAAGGGGCCACAGATATACAGATCACTTTCTAGTTGTTGTACATGGAGTAAAAAGGGAGATGGGGTACAAGGAGGAATGAAGCATCAGGGAGAATAGGTGAAGTTTATAAAATAAAGGGAGGCATTTTGGGGAAAATATAAAAAAACTATTGGGGGATAGATGGGCAAATGAGAGCATAGGCAATTGGGTCGAAGAGGTATGGGGGAGGGTTAAAAAAAGTAGTTTGAGTGTTCAGCAGAAGTTTGTGGTTACAGGAAAAATGGGTTTTCAGGGGGAAGAGGAAACGTTGGTGGGAAAGTATGTAAAGAGAGTAGTAAGGGAAAAAAGTTAGCATTTGAGAAGTTTTTACAAAGTAGAATGATGCAAGGGGGAAGGTATAGGAGAAAAAGAGAGAGGTTAAGAGAGTGGTGAAGCAATTAAAAAAAGAGCAAATGAGAAGTGGGGGAAAAATTTATCAACAAATTTTGTTGAAAATAAGAAAAAGTTTTGGAGTGAATTAAAAAATTTTGAAAGCCCCAGAGAAAAAATGGATTGTCATTAAAAAAGGAGAGGGAGTTTTAATGGAGAGTTAGAGGTATTGGGGAAATGGAGGGAAAAATTTTTTAGGAAATTTTTAAATTTGATGAAGATAGGGGAACTGTGATTTCGTGTATTTGGGCAAGGGGAATAAACATCTTGTGGAGGAGGAGAGCCGTGTGAGTGTGGGGGAAGTTCGTGGGAGTGGGTAAAAGAAAGGGGGGAAAGGGAGCCCGGGGTTGATGGGTAAAGATAGAAATGTTTAAAAACAGGGGGGGATATAGTTTTGGAGTGGTTGGTGCATTATTTTTTAATTTTATGGAAGAGGGTTTTAAGGTACCCAGGGATTTGGCGGGCATGCTAGTTCCTTTTTAAAAGGCAAAGGGGGTAAAAGAGAGTGCAAAAAAAATTTTAGGGGGATAAGTTGTTGGTGTACCTGGTAAAGTTATGGGTGAGTTATAATTGAAAGAAAAGATAAGCGGAGAAAAGGATAGCAGATGAACAAGGAGGCTTTAGGAAAAGGGAGGGGGTGTTGGCCCCGGGGTTTAAGTGAAACATTAAGTGAACGTATTTAGTAAGGCTAAAGAGGTCTTTGTGGATTTAGGGTTTTTGGGAAAAAGGGGTTGGGCAGGGTGGTAGGGGGGCAATGTGGCAGATGTTGCAAGTGATGGGTAGGTTTTGGGGTTATGAAAGCAGTGAAAGTTTTTAGAGGATATGAGGTCAGTTAGAGTATGTAGGAAAAAGGGGAAATTTTTCCCAGTAAAAATAGGCCTTAGACAAGGATGTGTATGTCACGGGTTGTTTAATATATTTATAGTGGGTTGTAAGAGAAATAAATCGAGGGGTTTGGCAAAAGCATGGGGTTAAAATAAAGAATCACACACAAAGGGGAGTTTTTTCACAGCTGCTCTTTTCTGATGACCTGGCTCTTGGGGGATTTGAAGGAAATTGCAGAGTTGGGGGAAGAATTTTGGGGGGTGTGCAAAAGAAAATTAAAAGGGGAATCCGGGGAAAGAGTAAGGTTATGAGGAAAACAAAAAGATTTGGTGATGAAGATTGAATATCAGATTGGGGGAGAGAGATGGAGGAGGTGAAGTTTCAGATATTTGGGGGGGCGTGTCAGGGATGGGTTATGAAAAATGAGGGGAATCTAGAATTTATGAGGGGAAAAAAAGTGAGTGGTGCACTTGGGTCTGTGGGGAAAAAAACTTTTGTCCTTGGAGGGAAAGAGGGAAGTAAAGAGTATAGTTTTTCCAACGCTTTATATGGGTGTGGGGAAACGTGGGTAGAATGTTCAGCAAGGAGAAGGCTGGAGGCAGTGGAGAGTCTTCGAGGGCAAAATGTGTGGTGGAATATAATGCAGAGAATTTTTGTTTGGAATTAGGAGGGGGTGCGGGGATTACAAAAAATGTTGTCCCGAGGGCTGGGAAGGGTTGTTTAGGGGTTCGGGCAGTAGAGAGAATGGAGCGAAACGAAGACTTCAAGAGTGTATCAGTCTGTAGTGGAAAGGGAAGGCGGGGTAGGGGTCGGCCTGGAAAGGTTGGGGGGAGGGGGTTAAAAAAGGTTTTGTGTGCAGGGGCTTGGGTTCCAGCAGGGATGCATGGCTGTTTGATGGAGTGAATGGGACAAATGGTTTTAATACTTGACGTGCTGTTGGAGTGTGAGCAAAGTAACATTTATGAAGGGATTCAGGGAAACCGGCAGGCCGGACTTGAGTCCTGGAGATGGGAAGTACAGTGCCTGCACTCTGAAGGAGGGGTGTTAATGTTGCAGTTTAAAAACTGTAGTGTAAAGCACCCTTCTGGCAAGACAGTGATGGAGTGAATGATGGTGAAAGTTTTTCTTTTTCGGGCCACCCTGCCTTGGTGGGAATCGGCCAGTGTGATAATAAAATAATAACTGTGCTTTTGGGGGATTTTAAAGAAAAGTTGCAAAGGTTAGTGGATGAGTTTAGGAGGGTGTGTAAAGGTAGAAAGTTGAAAGTGAACATAGATAAGAGTAAGGTGATGAGGGTATCAAATGATTTAGATTTTAGATAAAGAAAAATTGGATATCACATTGGAGGGAGGGAAGGAGGGAGTAATGGAAGAAGTGAATTTTTTTTTTTTTTCAACAAGTCGGTCGTCTCCCACCGAGGCAGGGTGACCCAAAAAAGAAAGAAAATCCCCAAAAAGAAAATACTTTCATCATCATTCAACACTTTCACCACACTCACACATTATCACTGCTTTTGCAGAGGTGCTCAGAATACAACAGTTTAGAAGCATATACTTGTAAAGATACACAACATATCCCTCCAAACTGCCATATCCCAAACCCCCCCTTTAAAGTGCAGGCAAATTTTACTTCCCATTCCAGGGGCTCAAGTCCGACTATATGAAAATAACCGGTTTCCCTGAATCTCTTCACTAAAAATTACCCTGCTCACACTCCAACAGATGTCAGGTCCCAAGTATCATTCGTCCCCATTCACTCCTATCTAACACGCTCATGCACGCTGCTGGGAAAAACCAAGCCCCCCGCCCCCAAAAACTTCCTTTACCCCTCTTTCCAACCCTTTCGAGGATGACCCCTACCCCTCTTTCCTTCCCCTATAGATTTATATGCTTTCCATGTCATTCTACTTTGATCCATTCTCTCTAAATGACCAAACCACCTCAACACCCCCTCTTCTGCCCTCTGACTAATGCTTTTATTAACTCCACACCTTCTCCTAATTTCCACACTCCGAATTTTCTACATAATATTTACACCACACATTGCCCTTAGACAGGAATCTCCACTGCCTCCAACCGTCTCCTCGCTGCTGCATTTACCACCCAAGCTTCACATCCATATAAGAGTGTTGGTACTACTATACTTTCATACATTCCCTTCTTTGCCTCCATAGATAATGTTTTTTCGACTCCACATATACCTCAACGCACCACTCACCTTTTTTCCCTCATCAATTCTATGATTAACCTCATCCTTCATAAATCCATCCGCCGACACGTCAACTCCCAAGTATCTGAAAACATTCACTTCTTCCATACTCCTCCCCAATTTGATATCCAATTTTTCTTTATCTAAATCATTTGATACCCTCATCACCTTACTCTTTTCTATGTTCACTTTCAACTTTCTACCTTTACACACATTCTCAAACTCATCCACTAACCTTCGCAATTTTTCTTTAGAATCTCCCATAAGCACAGTATCATCAGCTAAAAGTAACTGTGTCAATTCCCATTTTGAATTTGATTCCCCATAATTTAATCCCACCCCTCTCCCGAACACCCTAGCATTTACTTCTTTTACAACCTCATATATAAATATATTAAACAACCATGGTGACGTTACACATCCCTGTCTAAGACCTACTTTTACTGGGAAGTATTCTACCTCTCTTCTACACACCCTAACCTGAGCCTCACTATCCTCATAAAAGCTCTTTACACCATTTAGAAACTTACCACCTATTCCACATACTTGCAACATCTGCCACATTGCTCCTCTATCCACTCTATCATATGCCTTTTCTAAATCCATTAATGCAATAAAAACTTCCCTACCTTTATCTAAATACTGTTCACATATATGCTTCAATGTAAACACTTGATCTACACATCCCCTACCCACTCTGAAGCCTCCTTGCTCATCCGCAATTCTACATTCTGTCTTGCCTCTAATTCTTTCAATTATAACTCTACCATATACTTTTCCTGGTATACTCAGTAAACTTATTCCTCTATAATTTTTACAATCTCTTTTGTCCCCTTTCCCTTTATATAAAGGGACTATACATGCTCTCCGCCAATTCCTAGGTACCTTCCCCTCTTTCATGCATTTATTAAACAAAAGTACCAACCACTCCAACACTATATCTCCCCCTGCTTTTAACATTTCTGTCATGATCCCATCAGTTCCAGCTGCTTTACCCCCCTTTTATTCTACGTAATGCCTCACGTACCTCCACCACACTTACATTCTGCTCTTCTTCAATCCTAAAAGATGGTATACCTCCCTGGCCAGTGCATGAAATTACCGCCTCCCTTTCTTCCTCAACATTTAAAAGTTCCTCAAAATATTCTCGCCATCTACCTAATACCTCCCTCTCCCCATCTACTAACTCCCCTACTCTGTTTTTAACGGACAAATCCATGCTTTCCCTAGGCTTTCTTAACTTGTTTAACTCACTCCAAAATTTTTTCTTATTTTCCTGAAAATTTCTTGACAGTGCCTCTCCCACTCTTTCATCTGCTCTCCTTTTGCACTCTCTCACCACTCTCTTCACCTTTCTTTTACTCTCCATATACTCTGCTCTTCTTATAACACTTTTGGTTTGTAAAAACCTCTCGTAAGCTACCTTTTTCTCTTTTATCACACCCTTTACTTCATCATTCCATCAATCACTCCTCTTTCCTCCTGTCCCCACCCTCCTATAACCACAAACTTCTGCCCCACATTCTAATACTGCATTTTTAAAACTATTCCAACCCTCTTCAACCCCCCCCCCCCCTCCACTACTCATCTTTGCACTAGCCCACCTTTCTGCCAATAGTCGCTTATATCTCGCCCGAACTTCCTCCTCCCTTAGTTTATACACTTTCACCTCCCTCTTACTTGTTGTTGCCACCTTCCTCTTTTCCCATCTACCTCTTACTCTAACTGTAGCTACAACTAAATAATGATCCGATATATCAGTTGCCCCTCTATAAACATGTACATCCTGGAGCCTACCCATCAACCTTTTATCCACCAATACATAATCTAACAAACTACTTTCATTACGTGCTACATCATACCTTGTATATTTATTTATCCTCTTTTTCATAAATATGTATTACTTATTACCAAATTTCTTTCTACACATAGCTCAATTAAAGGCTCCCCATTTACATTTACCCCTGGCACCCCAAAATTACCTACTACTCCCTCCATAACATTTTTACCCACTTTAGCATTGAAATCCCCAATCACCATTACTCTCACACTTGATTCAAAACTCCCCACGCATTCACTCAACATTTCCCAGAATCTCTCTCTCTCCTCTACACTTCTCTCTTTTCCAGGTGCATACACGCTTACTATAACCCACTTTTGACATCCAATCTTTATTTTACTCCACATAATCCTTGAATTTATACATTTGTAGTCCCTCTTTTCCTGCCATAGCTTATCCTTCAACATTATTGCTACTCCTTCTTTAGCTCTAACTATTTGAAACCCCTGACCTAATCCCATTTATTCCTCTCCATTGAAACTCTCCCAACCCCTTCAGCTTTGTTTCACTTAAAGCCAGGAGATCCAGTTTCTTCTCATTCATAACATCCACAATCATCTCTTTCTTATCATTTGCACAATATCCACGCACATTCAGACTTCCCACTTTGACAATTTTCAGATATATGGGAGTTGACTTGTCAGCAGATGGTTTTATGAAGGATGAGGTTAACCATAGAATTGATGAAGAAAAAAAGGTGAGCAGTGCATTGAAGTATCTGTGGAGACAAAGAACATTATCCATGGAGGCAAAGAAGGGAATGTACGAGAGTATAGTGGTACCAACACTCGGGTGTGAAGCATGGGTTGTAAATGCTGCAGCAAGGAGGCACCTGGAGGCAGTGGAGATGTGTCAAAGGGCAGTGTGTAGTGTATATATTATGCAGAGAACTTGTAATATGGAAATTAGGAGGAGGTGTGGAGTTACTAAAAGTATTAGTCAGAGGGCTGAAGAGGGGCTGTTGAGGTGGTTTGGTCATGTAGAGAGAATAGAACAAAGTAGAATGACCTGGAGATCATATAAATCTGTTGGGGAAGGAAGGCAGGGGTAGGGGTCATCACCGAAAAAGTTGGAGGGAGTGGGCAAAGGAGGATTTGTGAGCGAGGGGCTTGGACTTCCGGCAAGTGTGCATGAGCATGTTAGATAGGAGTGAATGGAGACAAATGGTTTTTGGGACCTGACGAGCTTTTGGAGAGTGAACAGGGTAATATTTTTTGAAGGGATTCAGGGAAACCTGTTAGTTGGACTTGAGTCTAACTAACTGGGATATTGGCAGTTTGGAGGGATAATAAAAATCGTCTAAGCTGTCCTATCTAAGCTTCTCTGCAAAGACAGTGATATGTATGAGTGATGGTAAAAGTGTTGAATGATGATGAAAGTTTTTTCTTTCTTTTTGACTATTCTTTCTTTGTGGGTCACCCTGCCTCGGTGGGAATTGGCCGACATATTATAAAAATAAAATTGTTTTTTCACTAAATATAGCTGGCATGTGCTTACAATTTTTTTTTTTTTTCAGCTGGAAAACTTATTACTTGATGCTGATGGTCACATTAAAATAGCAGATTTTGGCCTATGTAAAGAAGACATTTCGTATGGGTCCACCACTCGCACTTTTTGTGGCACACCTGAATATCTAGCACCGGAGGTAAAGGAAGACTCGTGTTTCTTCCTGGTATTCTGTATGTATATCATAAGTGTCTTTTCCTGTTGTCTCTTGTGCAAATGTGTGCTTTTGCAAAGGTGAGTGAGTATGAAGAGAATGTTATTCTGTGTATTAGTTATATATTTCTCAACATAATAATATGTACAATATATACAGTGGACCCTTGGTTATTGGTCAACTCGGTGATCAGCTGGTTTTTCGGCTCCCAGTGATTGGCCATTTTGGATGCGTCTGTCCTCCAGCTGGGGCCGCTTGCACATCAGTTTGGCTATGTCTCTCGGTGCATGAGGAAGCTTCTGCTCATACATCTAAAGAAAGTTCCTAGTAAAGTTCCTGTGGTAAAGAAAGTGAGAAACACCATGGAATTTAAGTGTGAAGTGTAGCAGGCATACAGGGAGTGTAGCAGGCATGCAGGGGGTGTAGCGGGCATGCAGGGAGTGTAGCGGGCATGCAGGGAGTGTAGTGGGCATGCAGGGAGTGTAGCGGGCATGCAGGGAGTGTAGCAGGCATGCAGGGAGTGTAGTAGGCATGCAAGGAGTGTAGCAGGCATGCAGGGAATGTAGTAGGCATGCAGGGAATGTAGTAGGCATGCAGGGAATGTAGTAGGCATGCAGGGAATGTAGTAGGCATGCAGGGAATGTAGTAGGCATGCAGGGAGTGTAGCAGGCATGCGGGGAATGTAGCAGGCATGCAGGGAGTGTAGCAGACATGAAGGAAGTGTAGCAGGCATTCCAGAAGCCAGCATTAATCTTCAATAAAGGTATGTAATACTGTTTTAACCCTTTGAGGGTTTCGGACGTACTAGTACGTCTTACGCGCAGGGGTTTTTGACGTACTAGTACGCACAAATTCTAGCGCTGTCAAATCTCGCGGGAAAAGGCTGGTAGGCCTACATGTGAGAGAATGGGTCTGTGTGGTCGGTGTGCGCGGTAGAAAAAAAATCTGGGACCCAGTGGTGCATTGTGGGAACGCCATCTTAGGAAACAATGTCCACCATGCCTTGCGGTAAGAAGCTCCTCACTCCTCGGCGAATTGGGACACTTTTGTTTCCCAGTGACAGTTCTAATACAGATGGAAGTGCCAGTGAAGATGAGTTTCAAGGTTTTGGTGAGGTTTTGACTGAAACTAATGACCATAATATCGGTAATAGTGAGGAAAACCCAGACGACCCTCAGCCTTCCACCTCTGGTGCTGGGCCGTCTTGTTCACGTTCAGTTGTGCCAGAATTCAAGAGGAAACTAATATTTTCCCAAATCCCAGACTCAGATGAGAGCATGGGTGATGATAGTGATAGTGAATATGAACTACAAGCTCTTCAAACTAGTTCCAGTAGTGATAGTGAAGTGCAATATTCCCCAGTGAAGCGTCAGTATATACGACGATATATGCGGCTTGGGTGTGTTTATGCCATATGCTATTCACAAGAGGAAGATTGCATCTCGGGTACATCCCGTGGCTGTACAACGGAACAGAGAGTGAAATGACGACGATGATACTGTTGCAATTGGGATGGGAAAATGTGCGTGGTGGTAGTTGGTGCCAGCGGTGTAGCACCAGCAGTGGGCACCATTCTGACAACAACGCTGCCACCCACACGCTGCCTCAGCTGATTACAACAAAGGCACCATCCCCAACCCACCCACCCACACCAGCCTCCACCAACCACAACCACCTGTATTGTCCAGTACCCACCAGCAGGACTGCACCTGGGATTGGCAGAAGCTGTCAAAATCTTTGTTCCAAATGCCCACCAGTTTGATGAGGCCAAAGTGGAATCGGGCCTCTTGTACACTTGGGAACAATGCCACTGAACTGGAATGTTCGAGTAATTCTTTGTGAACACTGATGAAAGTTATTGTCATGGAAAGCAAAAACATACTACGAGTACACCATGGCAAACACATTACTTTCACCAAAATCGCGTCTACACCAGTGAAGGAGGCAACTGTGGTGAGATGTATCTTTTCTCCCTTGCCACAATAATGCTTATGCCAACATGTGTATAAGCACAAAAGTGAAATCATACTGTTCATAAGGACCGCTGATTGCCAACCCAAGGTTTCAGGGATATTAATGCCAGTGAATCGATTTGTGCTAATGTTTCGTATGCTAACTTCTCGGACAAAACCAGGCCTGACAGAACTAACCAGGTTATTTAAGATTAGGAATGTGTTGTGTATCTGAAAGAGAATTCAGTTACGCTTTTTATCCCTTCAGGGAAGCTTGTAATTGACGAGTCCTTTGATTCTGTTCAAAGGAGACTCTCTTTCAAGCAGTACATACCAAGCAAGAGGAAACGCTTTGGTATAAAGTTGTTGTGCTTGGATTGTTACAGTCGGTCTGGTATTGGATATTCTTGTGTACACTGGAAGTTATACATTGCAAAATACAGGAAGTTATTGGGCATCTCAGGTGATGTGGTACTAGAACAATGATAGACCCCATACCTTTTGGTAAGGGGCATATATTATATACAGATAACTGGTACACAAGCCCCCTCACTCAGTGATTTTTTGCGAGTGACTGACTGTTGTGTGTGGCCACAGTGCGTGCAAATCGGAAAAATATGCCCAGGTTTGACGATGGCACTCGTAGATGGTGAGGTGCAGGCGTTTGCTGCCAATGACATCACTGTGGAATTTGGTGGCATGACAAACGAGATGTTCACACTGTAGTCATCAGTTCACCCTAATGAAAAGGCAGATAGGTGGCAGGGCAGCATAGAGAGAGCAATGAACCATTCTAAAAACCTCGCAGCTGTGATTGATTACACCTTCAACATGCGTTCAGTGGACAAATGTGGACATGCAGATTGGGTTTGCTGATTGTGTTCGCAAGAGTTATAAGTGGTACATCAAACTGTTTTTCCATCTTCGAGGACATTTCCATGTCAATGCTTATAATATATATAAGATGAGGACCAGAAACAAAGCCACAGTATGGCGAATTGTTTGTCTTGTCATCAGAAAAATTAGTATTCTAAGATACAGGAACAGCACCTGCAATTGACACCACCAATTATCATCAACTACCTGCACGTCTGAAGCATGTGATCACTTCCTGGTAAAAACTGCCTGTGCTACTGCTTGTCTCAAGAAAAAGGCTCAGAAAGAGGTGTTACGTTCTTGTGCACATACAAAAAACGCCCAACAACATGCAGAGAACACTTTGTTTTTATGTGTGAGAATGTAAAAACAACCATGTGCATGACACCATGTTTCAAAAAAGGGGGGGACTTCCACAGGCCTGCAGAACTTTAGAAACATTCCCTGTGATGTATATGTGTATATAAATATAGGAAAAATAGTAATAGCAACATTTCATATCGTTTGTTTGTGTAAATATTTTCTATAAAAATATGCAACATTGATTATGCCCTTATTGTGTAGTATTGAAAAGAAAATAACTTGCTAAATACTGATCATGTTGAGCATCAGGGGCCATTAAAAATTACTTCAGAAAAAGAAAAATTGAAATATATATTGAAATTAGTACATAAAAAAATAAATAGAAAAATACGGGTGAGGCAGTCGGCGATGTTACCAGATGTTGTTCAATTTTGGCAAACTTCACGCCTCCATATTCTCGGTAAGTATTGACGGTAAATTTTTTTTGTTTAGGCCTATAATATTTAGAAAAGAAACTATTTTTTCATAAAAAATAATTTTTTTTTTTTTTTAAATTTGGCCGACTCTGAGAACGAGTTTCGGAGAGGGCCTGTCGACCCTCAAAGGGTTAATTGTTAAAAAAAATTATTTTTTTGTGAATATTTTTGTCTGGAACGGATTAATTGTATTTCCATTAATTCTTATGGGAAATATTATTTCATTTTTCGGCCATTACGGTCTTAGGTCGACCTTCTGGAATGGATTACGGCCAGTAACCAAGGGTCTACTGTATAATAGTTGAATTGTCCAATTGTCTATCCTTAAACTTCTTTTAATTTACCTTTTGAAATTACCTTCTTTCAACAACTGCGCATTTTCCCACCGAGGCTGGTGGTCAAAAAACAAAAACAAAAGTTTCTCTTTTTAACATTAGTAATGTTATACAAGTAAGGGGTTACTAACCCTTTGCTCCAGTATTTTAGTTTGTCTGTGTGAACACGCACATGGGTTACGGAGGAAGGAATTCTCAATACGTTCCACTTCCACATGGAAAACCTTATGAAATGTCTTCTGGCATTTTATATTTAATGCTCTTCTAGGCAATAGCTTACCAGGTGTTGACTGACTCCAAAAAATAAATTTTGGAATTGCTATCACATGTCCTTAATACAGCAAATTATATGCATCTGCATAATTATAGTAATGAAAAATGACATCCTTCAACAAGCGATCGGCCGTTCTCCACCGAGGCAGGGTTTGACCAAAAAAAAAGAAAGAAAATCACCAAAATGAAATACTTTCATCTCATTTCAACACTTTACCACCACTCGCACATTATCACTGTTTTTGCAGAGGTGCTTCAGTATACAACAGTTTAGAAGCATACACATATAAAGATCACAAATATACCTCCAAACTGCCAATATCCCAAAACACTCCTTTAAAGTTGCTGGCATTGTTACTTCCCATTTCAAGGACTCTCAAGTACGACTATATGAAAATAGCGGTTTCCTGAATCCCTTCACTAAATATTACCATGCTCACACTCCAACAGATCGTCAGGTCCAAAATTCCATTCCGTCTCCATTCACTCTATCTACACACTCACGGCACGCTTGCTGGTAGGTCCAAGCCCCTTGCCACAAAACCTCCTTTCCCCCTCTTCAACCCTTTTCGTGGTGCCCCTACCCCGCCTTCCTTCCCACTTATAGCTTTATATGCTATAAATGTCATTCTACTTTGATCCATTCTCTTAAATGACCAAAACACCTCAACAACCCCTTATTCTGCCTCTGATAATCTTTTATTAACTCCCACACCTTTTCCTAAATTTCCACATTAGAATTTTTGCATAATATTTACACCACACATTGCCCTTAAACAGGACAATTCCACTGCCTCCAACAGTCTCCTCGCTGCTTGCATTTACCACCCAAGCTTCACACCCATATAAGAGTGGTTGGTATACTGTACTTTCATACATTCCCTTCTTTGCCTCCGTAGATAATGTGTTTTGACTCCACATATACTCACGCACCATCACTTTTTTCCTCATCAATTCTAGGATTACCTCATCCTTCATAAATCATCCGCGACACGTCAACTCCCAAGTATCTGAAAACATTTCACTTTCTTCCATACTCCTCCTCACCAAATTTGTTAATATCCAATTTTTCTTTATCTAAATCATTTGACCCCTCATCACCTCAACCTCTTTTCCTATGTTCACTTTCAACTTTCTACTTTTCACACCATTCCCAAACTTATCCATAACAGTTGCAATGTTTTCTTTAGAATCTTCCATAAGCACAGTATCATCAGCAAAAAGTAACGGTCAATTCCCATTTTGAATTTGATTCCCAAAATTAAATACACCTCCCCTCTCCCGAACACCCTGCATTTACTTCCTTTACAACCCCATCTATAAATAATTAAAACAAACCATGGTGACATTACCAAATTCCCTGTCTAAGACCTACTTTTACTGGGTGTAGAGAGAGATAGATATCCTCTCATTCTACACACCTAACTGAGCCTACTATCCTCATAAAACTTTTACAGCATTTAATAACTTGCCACCTACCACTCTGAAACCTCCTTGCTCATCCACAATCCTACATTCTGTCTTACCTACTAATTCTTTCAATTACTAACCCTACCGTATACTTTTCCGGGTATACTCAGTTAAACTTATTCCTCTTAATTTTTACAGTCTCTTTTGTCCCTTTCCCTTTCTATAAGGGACTTATACATGACTCTCCGCCAATCCTTAGGTACCTTCCCTTCCTTTCATACATTTATTAAACATAAGTACCAACCCCACTCCAACACTATATCCCCCCTGCTTTTAACATTTATGTCATGATCCCATCAGTTCAGCTGCTTTACCCTCTTTCATTTTACGCAATGCCTCACGTACCTCCCCCACACTTACATTCTGCTCTTCTTCACTCCTAAAAGATGGTATACCTCCTGACCAGTGCATGAAATTACTGCCTCTGTTTCTTCCTTAACATTTAAAGTTCCTCAAAATATTCTCGCATCTACCTAATACCTCCATCTACTAACTCCCCTACTCTGTTTTTAACTGACAAATCCATACTTTCCCTAGGCTTTCTTAACTTGTTTAACTCACTCCAAAAATTTTTCTTATTTTCATTAGAATTTCTTGACGGTGCCTCTCCCACTCTTTCATCTGCTCTCCTTTTTCATCTCTCACCACTCTCTTTACCTTTCTTTTACTCTCCATATACTCTACTCTTCTTATAACACTTCTGCTTTGTAAAAACCTCTCATAAGCTACCTTTTTCTCTTTTATCACACCCTTTACTTCATCATTCCACAATCACTCCTCTTTCCTCCTCCCCACCCTCTTATAACCACAAACTTCTGCCCACATTCTAATACTGCATTTTTTAAAACTATTCCAACCCTCTTCAACCCCCCCCCCCTCCACTACTCATCTTTGCACTAGCCACCTTTCTGCCAATAGTCGCTTATATCTCACCCGAACTTCCTCCTCCTTTAGTTTATTGACACTTTCACCTCCCTCTTACTTGTTGTTGCCACCTTCCTCTTTTCCCATCTACCTCTTACTCTAACTGTAGCTACAACTAAATAATGATCCGATATATCAGTTGCCCCTCTATAAACATGTACATCTGGAGCCTACCCATCAACTTTTATCCACCAATACATAATCTAATAAACTACTTTATTACGTGCTACATCATACTTGTATATTTATTTATCCTCTTTTTCATAAAATATGTATTACTTATTACCAAATCTCTTTCTACACATAGCTCAATTAAAAGGCTCCCCATTTACATTTACCCCTGGCACCCCAAATTACCTACTACTCCCTCCATAACATTTTTACCCACTTTAGCATTGAAATCCCCAACCACCATTACTCTCACACTTGATTCAAAACTCCCCACGCATTCACTCAACATTTCCCGGAATCTCTCTCTCTCCTCTACACTTCTCTCTTCTCCAGGTGCATACACGCTTATTATAACCCACTTTCACATCAATCTTTATTTTACTCCACATAATCCTTGAATTAATACATTTATAGTCCCTCTTTTCCTGCCATTGCTTATCCTTCAACATTATTGCTACTCCTTCTTTAGCTCTAATCTATTTGAAATCCCTGACCTAATCCCATTTATTCCTCTCCACTGAAACTCTCCCACCCCCTTCAGCTTTGTTTCACTTAAAGCCAGGACATCCAGCTTCTTCTCATTCATAACATCCACAATCATCTCTTTCTTATCTGCACAACATCCACGCACATTCAGACTTCCCACTTTGACAATTTTCTTCTTATTCTTTTTAGTAATCTTTACAGGAAAAGGGGTTACTAGCCCATTGTTCCCGGCATTTTAGTTGACTTTTACAACACGCATGGCTTACGGAGGAAAGATTCTTATTCCACTTCCCCATGGATATAAAAGGAAAAGTAATAAGACCAAGAACTATTAAGATAAAATCAAAGAAAACTCAGATGAGTGTGTATAAATAAATGTGTACATGTATGTGTAGTGTGACCTAAGTGTAAGTAGAAGTAGCAAGACATACCTGTAATCTTGCATATTTATGAGATGGACAAAAAACATCAGCAATCCTACCATCATGTATAACAATCACAGGCTTTCATTTTACACTCACTTGGCAGGATGGTAGTACCTCCCTGGGTGGTTGCTGTCTACCAACCTACTACCTATACATATAAAAATACGTATAAAAATACACAATATATCTCTCCAAACTGCCAATATCTCAAACCCCTCCTTTAGAGTGCAGGCATTGTACTTCCCATTTCCAGGACTCAAGTCCGGTTATATAAAATAACCGGTTTCCCTGAATCCCTTCACTAAATATTACCCTGCTCACACTCCAACAGATCGTCAGGTCCCAGATACCATTTGTCTCCATTCACTCCTGTCTAACACGCTCACTCACGCTTGCTGGAAGTCCAAACCCCTCGCCCACAACACCACCTTTACCCCCTCCATCCAACCTTTTCGAGGACGACCCCTACCCCGCCTTCCTTCCCCTACAGATTTATACGCTCTCCATGTCTTTCTACTTTGATCCATTCTCTCTAAATGACCAAACCACCTCGAAAAAAAAAAGCCTGTTCAGCCCTCTGACTAATACTTTTATGAACTTCACACCTTCTAATTTCCACACTCCGAATTTTCTGCATAATATTTACACCACACATTGCTCTTAGACAGGACATCTCCACTGCCTCCAACCGCCTCCTTGCTGTAGCATTTACAACCCAAGCTTCACACTCTTGTAAGAGTGTTGGTACTACTAGTACTACTATACAGTGGACCCCCGCATAACGATTACCTCCGAATGCGACCAATTATGTAAGTGTATTTATGTAAGTGCGTTTGTATGTGTATGTTTGGGGGTCTGAAATGGACTAATCTACTTCACAATATTCCTTATGGGAATAAATTCGGTCAGTACTGGCACCTGAACATACTTAGGGAGTGAAAAAATATTGTTAACCGGGGGTCCACTGTACTTTCATAAATTCCCTTCTTTGCTTCCATAGATAACATTTTTTGCCTCCACATATATCTCAATGCACCACTCACCTTTTTTCCTTCATCAATTCTATGATTAACCTCATCCTTCATAAATCCATCCGCTGACATGTCACCTCCCAAATATCTGAAAACATTCACCTCTTCCATACTCCTTCTCCCCAATTTGATATCCAGTTTTTCTTTATCTAAATCATTTGATACTCTCATCACCTTACTCTTTTTCTATGTTCACTTTCAACTTTCTACCTTTACACACATTCCCAAATTCGTCCATTAACCTTTGCAACCTTTCTTTAGAATCTCCCATAAGCACAGTATCATCAGCAAAAAGTAACTGTGTCACTTCCCATTTTGTATTTAATTCCCCATAATTTAATCCCACCCCTCTCCCGAGCACCCTAGCATTTACTTCTTTTACAACCCCATCTATAAATATATTAAACAACCATGGTGACATTACACATCCCTGTCTAAGACCTACTTTTACTGGGAGGTAGTGTTCCTCTCTTCTACACACCCTAACCTGAGCCTCACTATCCTCATAAAAACTCTTTACAGCATTTAGTAACTTACCACCTATTCCATACACTTGCAACATCTGCCACATTGCTCCCCTATCCACTCTATCATATGCCTTTTCTAAATCCATAAATGCAATAGAAACTTCCCTTGTATATTGTGTAAGTATATATATAAGTGAGATGAGAGTAAGGAATACATAATGTTTCATTTTAAAATCATGTTACAGCAAAAGCTCGATGCTACATGTATCTTTAGAACACGTTTGCATTTTCAGGTACTTGAGGAAAATGATTATGGCCGAGGTGTTGATTGGTGGGGCTATGGTGTATGTTTGTACGAAATGATGGTAGGACGCCTACCTTTTTATGACAAAGATCACGATAAGCTTTTCCAGCTCATAGTCTGTGAAGATGTAAGTACTTAATGAAGTACTTTATATAGTTATTCATGATTGCCCAGGGTTCACTGAGAGTTTTGAATGGTCTAGCACTTTCCCTTGAAACTAATAGTAACACTTGACCATGATGATAAATTCTCACCTGTACCCCTTCATTGTGATGATATAAATATTGTGACAAGAAGTTTAATTAGCCTATCAGTTGTACCAGGTTGCATTGTTGCAACAAATAACATTTTACTCTGTACCCAACCATACTTGGGATTCAGGGTAAAGATTTTTTCATGGAAGTATGAAATCTGAGTAAGCATTATAATATTTTCAGGTAAGATTCCCAAGGACTATTTCTCAAGAAGCCCGAGACCTGCTCAAAGGTTTGTTACATAAAGACCCGAACAAGCGTTTAGGTGGTGGTCCAGGTGATGTACGGGAGGTTCAGAGCCATCCTTTCTATGTAACTATCAACTGGAAGCTTCTCGAAGAAAAAAAGGTTGGAAGCTGTTATTAGCCTTAATATAATTTTAATAATACCCTAATTGATATTGTATTTACTATACAACTTTTTTTTTCCTTAATACATTTAATTTCCTGCAGTTAACACCACCATTCAAGCCTCAAGTAACCAGTGAAACTGATACCCGATACTTCGATAGAGAATTCACCGGAGAGAGTGTGCAGCTTACTCCACCTGATCAAGGGGAGCACCTTAATGTTATTGATGAAGAATCAGAATACTTGGTGAGTGTTTGACTGGCTATTGATTGGGTATTTTTTTATTATATCAAATTTACAGGCTAAGAACTGTTATCCTGCCTCAGCTCATTTCAAAGCCCTAGCCCGTATCTGAGGTATACTACCACTCCCCAGGATGTGACCCACACCAGTCGGCTAACACCCAAGTACCTACTTGCTGCTAGGTAAATGGGCAGCATATGTAAGGAAACATGCCCAATGTATCCACCTGTACTGGGGATCAAACCATGGACACTCGGTATGTGATTTGAGTGCACTACCAACTGAGCTTTATGTGCTAGTTTGGAAATCCTTTTTGATCACGTTTGATTACCTCCTACCTCCCAGGCACTGTATGGCTGTTTAGTACTTCCCCATTAGTACAAAAATATAGAAACTGAATTACCAAGGTACTTTCAGGTTAATTCTATGACTTGCATAAAAGAAAGAAAAGCATCTGTAAGAATTTTATAGGTTGTTGTCCTAGGAAAGGTTGGAGGGAGGGGTAAAGGAGGTTTTGTATGCAAGGGACTTTGATATCCAACAGGCGTGTGAGAGCGATAGGAGTGAGTGGGGTGTGAGCAAGAAAATATGAAGGGATTTGGAGAAACTGGTTAGCTGGATTCGAGTCCTAGATGTGGGAAGTACAATGTCTGCACTCTGAAAGGGAGATGGGGTGTTGCAGTTTGGAGGAGCATTTGAACTGTAGTATTGATGTACCTTGGGCAAGAGTGATGGAGTGAGTGATGGTCAGGGAGTTTCTTCTTTTTTGGGTCACCCTGCCTCAGTGAGAGATGACTAATGTGTTAAAATAGGGAAATTAATGGGAAAAGTGAAACTGAAGAATAAGGGAAACAAGTACTGTATGTTGATGTATACAGGGGTGCCTTTGTTAAGATGATGTACCTAGGTGTAGGGCTGTTATACAACTAATAACCTTTCTAGCCTACATACCCATAAGCTTGCCAGAAAATACAAGAAAACACTAATGTGCTAGTTCAATCAAGCCCCTATAAAACAAAGTATTCAAGCCAAGACCCTTAGTTGTCACTTAATTTAAACCCATTAGGATTTGTTTACAGTACCTCCCAGTTCCTTAAGGAACATATCAATATGTTGTGCCTAGTGTGAGGGTTTAATGTGAGATTGTGTCTGTAGAGAAGTACCAAAGAAGTCTAAGAAAATAAATTTAGCTTTTTTGAAACTGGTTATCTCCCACTGAGGTGGGGTGACCTGAGAAAGAAGAAACATTTTCAGTCTTTCACTTTATCATTGTCTTGCTAGAGGCATGCTGATACTACAGTTCAAATGCCCCTCTAAACTGCAAATATCCCCACCAGTACCCCAACCAGACGGCCGACTTGTTGAAAAAAAAAAAAAAAAAAAAAAACATACTTAATGCATAGGCACAGTTTGCATAACATGTGAATTTATGTTTCTGAAATCAGCACTTTATGCAATTTTACCTATGAAGTACAGGATGTATAATGTATGTGGATAAAAATTAGTTAGGATCACGACACCACCAAAAAAAATCAAAGTAAATTTTTTAGGTGTTCATTTCATAAAAAATAATGAAAGTTTTGACTAAGGATGGGACAATACCAAATTGTTTGCCACTGCTGATACTCAGTTTTAGGCTGATACCAATACCATAAAAATTAACCAGTACCCATTGGTATGCAAACCAGTAACATAAATTTGTGTATACCTACTAATACTGATGCTCAGTTTTAGGCAAATACCTATACCATCAAAGTTGACCAGTACTCGCCAAAACTGATGCTTTGACACTCCTAGTGTTTGGAGGGGCATCATCTAAGTAATGTCAGCACACCTCTGGCAAGACAGTGATGGTGAGAGTATTTCTTTTTTTCGGATCTCCCAACTTTATTGGGAGAGGGCCGGTGTAAAAAACTGAAAAGGCATAATATTGGCTGATGTATTGTAAACAATTGGAGGGTAGAGGGTGATGCAAATGAGATTAGTGGATATTAGCAAATTTATTCGCTTATGTAGAATGAAAGGGGGTAAAGCAGCTGGAACTGACGGGATCATGACAGAAATGTTAAAAGGGGGGGGGGGGATATAGTGTTGGAGTGGTTGGTATTTTTGTTTAATAAATGTATGAAAGGGGGGAAGGTACCTAGGGATTGGCAGAGAGCATGTATAGTCCCTTTATATAAAGGGAAGGGAGACAAAAGAGATTGTAAAAATTATAGAAGAATAAGTTTACAGAGTATACCAGGAAAAGTGTACAGTAGGGTTATTATTGAAAGAATTAGAGGCAAGACAGAATGTAGGATTGTGGATGAGCAAGGAGGTTTTAGAGTGGGTAGGGGATTTAGATAAAGGTAGGGAAGTTTTTATTGCATTTATGGATTTAGAAAAGGCATATGATAGTGAATAGGGGAGCAATGTGGCAGATGTTACAAGTATATGGAATAGGTGGTAAGTTACTAAATGCTGTAAAGAGTTTTTATGGGGATAGTGAGGCTCAGGTTAGGGTGTGTAGAAGAGAGGGAGAATACTTCCTGGTAAAAGTAGGTCTTAGACAGGGATGTGTAATGTCACCATGGTTGTGTAATATATTTATAGATGGGGTTGTAAACGAAGTAAATGCTAGGGTGTTCGGGAGAGGGGTGGGATTAAATTATGGGGAATCGAATACAAAATGGGAATTGACAGTTACTTTTTGCTGATGATACTGTGTTTATTGGAGATCATAAAGAAACATTGCAAAGGTTAGTAGATGAGTTTGGGAATGTGTGTAAAGGTAGAAAGTTGAAAGTGAACATAGAAAAGAGTAAGGTGATGAGGGTATCAAATTATTTAGATAAAGAAAAATTGGATATCAAATTGGGGAGTAGTAGTATGGAATAAATGTATGTTTTCAGATATTTGGGAGTTGACGTGTTAGTGGATGGATTTATGAAGGATGAGGTTAATCATAGAATTGATGAAGGAAAAAAGGTGAGTGGTGTGTGGAGACAAAAAATGTTATCTCTGGAGGCAAAGAAGGGAATGTATGAAAGTATAGTAGTACCAACACTTATATGGGTGTGAAGCTTGGGTTGTAAATGCTGCAGTGAGGAGGTGATTGGAGGCAGTGGAGGTGTCCTGTCTAAGGGCAATGTGTGGTGTGAATATTATGCAGAAAATTCAGAGTGTGGAAATTAGGAGAAGGTGTGGAGTTAATAAAAGTATTAGTCAGAGGGCTGAAGAGGGTTTGTTGAGGTGGTTTGGTCATTTAGAGAGAATGGATCAAAGTAGAATGACATGGAGAGCGTATAAATCTGTAGGGGAAGGAAGGCGGGGTAGGGGTCGTCCTCGAAAAGGTTGGATGGAGGGGGTAAAGGAGGTTTTGTGGGTGAGGGGTTTGGACTTCCAGCAAGTGTGCGTGAGCGTGTTAGATAGGAGTGAATGGAGACGAATGGTATTTGGGACCTGACGAGCTGTTGGAATGTGAGCAGGGTAATATTTAGTGAAGGGATTCAGGGAAACCGGTTATTTTTATATAACCGGACTTGAGCCCTGGAAATGGGAAGTACAATGCCTGCACTTTAAAGGAGGGGTTTGGGATATTTGCAGTTTGGAGGGATATGTTGTGTATCTTTATATGTATATGCTTCTAAACTGTTGTATTCTGAGCACCTCTGCAAAAACAGTGTTTATGTGTGAGTTAGGTGAAAGTGTTGAATGATGATGAAAGCATTTTCTTTTTGGGGATTTTCTCTTTTTTGGGTCATCCTGCCTCGGTGGGAGATGGCTGACTTGTTAAAAAAAAAAAAAAGAAAAAAAAAAAAATATGGTTACAGTGTGGTTTGGCCCTTGATGCACCAAAGTGGGAATCTAGTATGTGGGCCTGTAGGAATCTAGTACAGGTCCGCCATCACAAATCCGGCAATCAGACATCCGGTTCCATCAGTCACTATTTGGCACTAATTTCGGCTAGCATAATTTCAAATTTCAAGGGTCACCACACCAACCTGCTGGTACTGTTTGGTGGCACTACTTGCTGCATAAGTTATTCCAGTTTCTTTTTCTCCGTTTATTGTCATAACCTGCTTACTTTTAGCCCTAACCATGGTTCCAATGAATAAAAGAAATGTTTTTCGTTGTGTGAAGCACATACACAGTACATTGTTCATAAAAGATAAGGTGGCTTTGAAACCACTGTCGGTTGCCATGCGCTCAGTCTCGTGATGCAGGGGAATATGCTTTATTATTACGGTAATGCTTATTTGCCTATCACAATTGATCTAATGTGACATAATAAACAATATAAATAACAAAAAAATGTTAAATACTCCAGAATTAATATTTGGCATAATACCGAATGGTTCGACAGAGGTATGTAGAGGATATGGGATACAAATACCATTCTCCTATCCCTGTCTTGGGGCTTATGTGATACTGCACCATAAAACTGAAACTAAAAAGCTATTTTCTCTATATAGATTATCATACATAACAGCATGTGTGTAGAGAACCTAGGATAACCCAAAAAAGTCAAAGTGGCTTATTTCTAGTACCTGGCTTGGGCTTACCATATATGATTTTTGGTAAATATTAAATTCCCAGCCAGGGTAGAAACATTGGGCATGTTTCTTTACACCTGTTGTCTATGTTCACCCATCAGTAAATGGGTACCTGGGTGTTAATGGACTGGTGTGAGTCCTATCCTGGGACACTGACCTAATTTGCCTTAAATGCTTAGCATAACAAGGGCAAGGGGCTTTCTATATAGCAGTATGTCACTAATGTCAGCTAGACCTGTATACCACGTACATGTACTTGTGGTAAATCAAGATTATTATTATTTTTTTCTCTCGCTTCTTTGTTGGGCTATCTTAATGAAACTTGGGCAGTGTATGATGGAAAGATGCTTCTTAACGTACACCAAAAATTAAAGAAATCGGACCATAAATAAGAGTTCACTTCGTAGCCATTAGCTGCTCCTTAGCGGTATACGTATTTTTGTATGGTTTTTTTGGTTGTATTCT